CCAACCTGGGCTGGTGATCTGTTTCACCCTAGATATACATGTTTCGATGCTGTTCTCTTGAATCATCCCACCCTCGCCTTCTCCCACAGAGTCCAAAAGTCTGTTCTATACATCTGTGACTCTTTTTCTGTCTTGCATATAGGGTTATTGTTACCATCTTCCTAAAATCCATATATATGCATTAGTATACTGTATTGGTGTTTTTCTTTCTGGCTTACTTCACTCTGTATAATGGGCTCCAGTTTCATCCACCTCATTAGAACTGATTCAGATGTATTCTTTTTAATGGCTGAGTAATATTGCATTGTGTATATGTACCACAGCTTTCTTATCCATTCGTCTGCTTATGGGCATCTAGGTTGCTTCCATGTCCTGGCTATTATAAACAGTGCTGTGATGAACATTGGGGTACACATGTCTCTTTCAGTTCTGGTTTTAATCTCAAACTCTCAATCCATCCATACCCCATCCAATTCAGTAATTTTTAATAAACTTACCAAGTTATGCAGTTATCACCTTAATACAATTTTGGAACAGTTCCATCACCCTAGTAAGATCTTTGTGCCTGTTTATAGTTAACCTAGAAAGGGGTTTTAATCTAAATCTGACACGTGTATTAAAGGGTAAGCAGTGCATATCTTTGGGACAAACGTGGGAGCCCCCAAGGGGCATGAACATATGCTTGAGTTGGTAGTTGACATCATCTGAGTTCTACCAAGAACTACTTTTCATGAGCTATTCTTTGCTCACATCTTGGCTGATTATGTGCTTTAAGAAGAAAGCCATTCACTGATGGAATCTCTTCACACTTCTATTTTCTCAGGTAGTGAGCAGTATACAGTTCTTAGACAATCAAGAAGCAGTTATAGGCTTGCTGCATGGATAAGAAAGTAGCTGAAATGTTATGGAGATTTTTGGATTTTCAGTGGTATAGAAGAAAGAAGAAAAAAATAGGCAAGGCAAATCTGGTGTCCCCTTAAGAATAGGGACTCCAGTGAATTGGACCCAAGATGGTACCTATTAGGTGTCTACTGTTCTTTGTGACTCTGCCTAATTGCTATTTGTCTGCCTCTATGTGAAATTATTGACTTAATCTGCCTGAGTTTAGTATACTAGCATTATAGTTGATGTATCAGGATAGACTCTTGGATGTGAAAAGAACTTTAAAGATCATCTACCTGCAAGTTTTATTTATTAATATTTTACACAGTTGATTCCTATAGAGGGGAAAGGGTTTTCTTTTTTCCCTTTTTAAAATTCAATTATAGGGACTTCCCTGGTGGTCCAGTGGTTAAGACTTTGCCTTCCAATGCAGGGGGTGCAGGTTTGATCCCTGGTTAGGGAGCTAAGATACCACATGCCTTGTGGCCAAAACACCAAAACATAAAACAGAAGCAGTGTTGTAACAAATTCAATAGAAACTTTAAAAATGACCCACATCAAAAAACTTAAAAAAAAATTCAGTTATAGTTCCACTGGATCACAAAGAGTCAAACATGACTGAAGTGACTTAGCATGCATGCATAGTTGAATTGCAGTGTTGTGTTAATTACAACTGTACAGCAAAGTGACTCAGTTATACACATACATATGCATTATTTTTCATATTCTTTTCCATTATGGTTTATCAGAGGATATTGAATATAGTTCCCTGTGCTATACAGTAGGACCTTGTTGTTATTCTATTCTTTAAAAAAAATTAATTGGAGGATAATTGCTTTGCAATGTTATATTGGTTTCTGCTATACAACAATGCAAATCAGCTGTAAGTATATGTATATCCCCTCCCTCTTGAGCCTTCCAACTCCCCATCCCACCCCTCTAGGTCATCACAGAGTACCAAGCTGAGCTCCCCGTGTTATACAGAATCTTCTTACTAGTTATCTATTTTACACATGGTAGTGTATATATGTCAGTGCTACTCTTTCAATTTATCTCACCCTCTCTTTCCCCCACTGTATCCACAAGTCCATTCTCTATGTCTGTGATTCTATTCCTGCCATGCAAATAAGTTCATCAGTACCATTATTCTAGACTCCATATATATGCATTAATTTACAATATTTGTTTTTCTTTTTCTGACTTACTTCACTCTATAATATGCTCTAGGTTCATCCACCTCAGTTCAAGTGACTGAAATTCATTCCTTTTTTATGGCCGAGTAATATTCCATTGTATATATGTACCATAACTTCTTTATCTATTCATCTGACGATGGACATCTAGGTTGCTTCCATGTCCTGGTTATTGTAAACAGTGATGCAGTGAACATTGGGATCAGCTCAGTTCAGTCACTCAGTAGTGTCTGACTCTTTGTGACCCCATGGACTGCAGCACACCAGGCTTCTCTGTCCATCACCAACTCCTGGAGCTTGCTTAAACTTTTGTCCATCTACTTGGTGATGCCATCCAGCCATCTCATCCTCTGTCATCCCCTTCTCCTCCTGCCTTCTATCTTTCCCAGCATCAGGGTCTTTTCCAAGGAGTCAGTTCTTCGCATCAGGTGGCCAAAGTATTGGAGTGTGTCAAAAAGACACATTGGGATGTATGTGTCTTTTTGAATTATGGGCTTCTCAGGGTGTGTGCCAAGGAGTGGAATTCCTGGTCACATGGTAGCTTTATTCCTATTTTTATTTTTATTTTTTTAAATTGGAGGACAATTGCTTTACAATATTGTGTTGGTTTCTGCCATACATCAATATTCCTAGTTTTAAAAGGAATCTCCATAGTGGTTTTATCAATTTACATTCCCACCAACAATGAAAGAGGGTTCCCTTTTTTCCACATCCTCTCCAGCATTTATTATTTGTAGATATTTTGATGATGGCCATTCTGGCCTGTGTGAGGTGATACCTCATTGTAGTTTTTATTTGTGTTTCTCTAATAATGAGTGATGCTGAGCATATTTTCAAGTGTTTATTAGCCATCAGCATGTCTTCTTTGGAGAAATGTCTGTTTAGGTCTTCTGCCCTCTTTTTTATTGAGTTGTTCTTTTTTTATATTAAGCTGCATGAGCTGCTTTTGTCAGTTGCTTTATTTCCAATCATTTTAGCCTATTCTGAGTGTTGTCTTTTCACCTTGTTTATAGTTTCCTTTGCTGTGCAAAAGCTTTTAAATTTAATTAGTTCTCATTTGTTTATTTTTCTTTTTATTTCCATTCCTCTAGGAGGTAGGTTAAAGAGGATCTTGCTGCAATTTGTTAAAGAGTGTTCTGCCTATGTTTTCCTCTAAGAGTTTTATAGTTTCTGGCCTTACATTTAAGTTTTTGATCCATTTGAGTTTATTTTTGTGGGTTTTCTTGAGGTCACATGATTTGTTAGTAGCAGAGATGAGACTAGAACCTTATTCTCCTGATATTTAGAATATACAATGCCCTAGAATTATAAATAAGTCAGAAACAAGATTTATAAAACAATGTTGTAACAGCCAGTTAAAGACATCTTGATATATATGGAATCTAGAAAGATAGTACTGATGAACCTATCTGAAGGGCAGCAATAGAGATGCAGACAAAGAGAACAGAGTTGTGGACACAAGGTGGGAAGGGGAGGGTGGGAAGACTTGAGAAAGTAGCATTGAACAATATACATTACCACTTGTAAAATTAGATATCCCGTGGGATTTTGCTGTATGATGCAGGGAGCCCAAGTTCAGTGCTCTGTGACAACCCTGAGGGGTCAGATGGGGTGGGAGGTGGGAGGGAGGTTCAAGAGGGAGGGGACATATGTATACCTATGGCTGATTCATATTGATATATGGCAGAAACCAATAGAATATTGTAAAGCAATTATCCTTCAATTAAAATTAATAAATTAAAAAAAAGACATCTTGAATTGGTTTTAATTTTTCTAGTTTCTTTGTGAGGAGGTAAATATGTAGCATGAAGGGGATAATTATTCCAAATAAATAAACTTGTACAAGTCCCATTTAAAAAATATCAGGGGAATAATTTTTTAAATTTTTTATTGTTATTTAAAATGTTTCCTATGATAGTAATACTTTAATAAGTGTAAATTTTAGGTTCTACGTTAGTTTGATGAATGTAGGTATATGAAATATACAAGCTGAAAAACATTTACTTTTAGCAGATTAAAGTGTATTCAGTTTAATTATCAATCTCACAAGGTATTCTAAATTGAGAGAATTTTCCATTTTCCAATAAAAGCAAATTACTATATAGGTAAGATTTTACATACACCTTTAAAATATTTTCCAGTAGGTAAAATTTTAATGAAATATTTGCTTGTAGGCAAAGAAAGACTGATAAGATATATTTTTAAAATAGGCTTTAAAATATTATTTCTGTGGTGTATATAACAAGTTACTACATTAAAACTTTCATTTTTGGTATTCTCTAAAGTTAAAATATGAAGGTAATATTCTTTTAGAATGTGGATTAATATTGTATCACAATTTACTTTTGAAGAAAACTGTTTTATGTTTTTCATGTTTAAACAATATACCAAGCTCTAAACTGAACAGCAACCACCTAAATAAATTTTCTGTAACATACCATATATCAGTGAAATACCCAGTGAAATAAATATCATTGGGCATGCCAAAATTAGCCCATGTGAAAATGGGCCAACTTATGGTTTTCATTTTTTAAATACAAAGAGCAAACTGAAATAGAGATAATATTTAAACATTTTCAATAAAGGTAAGAAATATTCTTTGGAGAGGGTGACATCTCCTTTGCAAGATGGCCAAAACAGCCCCTGAAAGATTGTGAGAATAGAGACAGATGCTTCATTTGTAACTAGAAATAAATATGAATGTATCAATTTTGAGAATAAATCATTTAAATATTCCATGTAAAATATGAATAATCATATGTATCATGTTTAATTATTCCAGTTACAGAATAATCAGCACTGGGTGTATTTGAAAGAGCTTAGAATGGTGTAAAATGGCTTCCTACATCCCTACTTCTACTCCCAAAGTGATGTAAATTACTACTTTCCCACTATCAAAGTAATTATCAGAGCACAAGCCAAACAGCTGAGTATGTTACCTTGAAAAAATTACAGTACAGTATATAAAGTTGGTAGATACTTTTTATTATTTCATTTGAATGTAAGTTGACATGTAGAATTGATTTTTACCACTTTGTTCTGTATAAAATTCTGAAATGCTTTTATCCTCTCATAACTCTTAAAACTTTGCAAAATATTCATTTGAAAAATTAAGACGGAATAGTTTTCAAGAGAGGTTTTAGGTCATTTTACATAATAGTGGAGTGTTGGTAAAATTTTCAAATTTAAAATACACATATTTTCTAAAAAAAAAATCTCTTCTACTGTCACAATGAATTTCTTTTTTTTAAAATTAACAATGAATTTCTTGAAGGCAGTTCTTTTGATGTCAGATAAAAGTTCATAAGGATTTCTACCCAATAAGATTTACTTTTAAGAACTGAGATGCATCTAGCAATTTCTTTATTTAATGTAATTTGTTTTAGAACTTCCTAAAAATGTTTAAAATGTGTAATAGTAGATTAGTTGATAAGGAGGCACTGAATCATAGCAGCACATTGAATGGCAATTAGTGCAAATCCGATCACAAGGATCAGAACAAAGGTATCATCACTCATCTCTATCTTGAGTTTTTCATGTTTCCCTTCACTAGGGCTGCTTCCCCTCTTTCTTCTAACAGCTTTGCCAGGCCCTGGCTGTTGCTTATAGGTTGAGAAAAGAGCACTCGGGCTACAATGTCCCCAGAGCTCTTGTATCCCAGCAGAATTCTGGTATTGACGTCCAGCACAGACTTTGAAGCGGTAATGTGAATTTGTGAGAAAGTTGGAAAAGGAGAATGACGTGTTCGGTCCTTTGTAAATCTAAAAGAAAAAGAGTCAAAATTAAAATTACCTTTTCTTACAAAAAAAAAAAAAGGTTTTGACAACAGGAAACATTACATGAATATGTTCACAACAAAAATAAAAGTTTACTGTTACAGTCTCTAATATCTTGAGAACCCAGTACTATTTAGGTGTAATTTTCTTCAATGTAACAAATAACAAAGACTTGTAACTGTTAAACTTTAAATTCCATTTGGTTTGGAATGGGTTGGGCATATGGTCAGTGGAATCTAAAAACAACTACATCCAATAATATTAAGTTAAATACATAAACAAATTGTTCCCATGTAAGTATTATGTACATAAATATTTAAGACCAGATAGGATTTTTGGATAAAATTAGTTACTTTCAATATCATAAAAGAATATTGTACTCTTTGACAAAACTCAGTCCCCAGCAGGATGTAAAACTATAAATCACAATGACAAAATTTACAAGAATTTACCAGGTCAGTTCCTTTTCCACTGATGAGCTGAAGACTGTAAACTATGGAATCTCCGTTTATTGGCTCCAAAGATTCCCATTTGACCTCACAAGTATTGTTATTCAACTGGTGCAATTTAGGTGCTAGAAAAAGAGAATTTCAGCTTAGATGGTTCCACTTTTCCTAAGTGGTCTTGAAAACATTGAAATCTCTCATACAGTTTTATAGGGTCGCTAAAAGGCAACCCATGTAAGATTAATCTAAATGATATATATTTATAGTTCTTATTGTAAAGACTTTTGCTGTATCACCAGCATCTTAATACTTGTAATAAAATCTTTAAGCACTTAAAATTGTCAAGTAATAAAAATATTTTATTTTTAGTAATATCTGTTACAACTTTAGAAGTGACAAACAGATTTAAGGGATTAGATCTGATAGAGTGCCTTGAAGAACTATGGATGGAAGTTCATAACATTGTACAGGAAGAAGTGATCAAGACCATCCTCAAGGAAAAAAAAATGTAAAAAGGCGAAAAGGTTGTCTGAGGAGGCCTTACAAATAGCTGAGAAAAGAAGAGAAGCTGAAGGTAGGAGAAATGGAAAGATATACCCATTTGAATGCAGAGTTCCAAAGAATAGCAAGGAGAGATAAGAAAGCCTTCCTCAGTGATCAATGCAAAGAAATAGAGGAAAACAATAGATGGGAAAGATGAGATACCAAGGGAATATTTCATGCAAAGATGGGCACAATAAAGGGCAGAAATGGTATGGACCTAACAGAAGCAGAAGATATTAAGAAGAGGTGGCAACAACACATTGAAGAACTATACAAAAAAGATCTTCATGACCCAGATAATCACCATGGTGTGATCACTCACCTAGAGCTAGACATCCTGGAATGTGAAGTCAAGTGGGCCTTAGGAAGCATCATTACGAACAAAGCTAGTGGAGGTGATGGAATTCCAGTTGAGCTATTTCAAATCCTGAAAGATGATGCCGTGGAAGTGCGGCATTCAATATGCCAGCAAATCTGGAAAACTCAGCAGTGGCCACAGGACTGGAAAAGGTCAGTTTTCATTCCAAT